TGAACAAATCCATCATTTCTTTCTCGAGTTCTTTCAGTAAACCGAAGGGGGAGTCATTTGAAAAAGCGATTGTAGTTTCAAATTGCCTGTTTGTGCAGTTTAATATCTAAGTTTGATTCTAGCCGACCTCTACCAATCTCAAACATACAAAAATGTTTCTTGCATATTTTGTTTCCTGAAGTTTAATTTGTGATGCATTTCATTGCTAGTCAGCTAGGCTATTCCATTTGTCCGAACCACAACATACGGAGACAGATCATTTAGCAGACCGGGTGCTGTACTCTGGAATTGATTACCTGAAAATGTCAGAAAATCGGAAAATATCCACAGTTTCCGATCGTGTCTCAAAACCATCCTCTTCAAACGAGCATTCGACTAAGCACACATGAGCAGGACTCTGGATATGTAGCGCTATACAAATGTCTAATTTGATTTGATTTGATTTGATATAACCGTTAGAAACCCATCCCCACCCCACCCTACTTTATATTTATACATATCAAAACTTCAAAAGATATTTGCGAAAAGACATGATACAGAGGACAGTTTATATCGATTCTATATCAGGACGAATATTATTTTCGTCATTTGGTTAAGATTTGTCAATTCTTTCTTGGGTTATCGCTAACAATCTTTATATTGGCAAAACCCTCAGATTTTGCTGTGACCTTGAAAATTATCTCAAGGTCACTCCATTTCCCTTGTGTCGGTGAATCTCACCAATATACCTTGGTACCAAATTTGAACAAAATCCATCATTTCTTTCTTGAGTTATCGCCCTAACAAGCTTATTTGATGTATGAAATGCAACGAAAAACAAACACCCGCGTATTTACGAGTGATTAAAACTGTTATTACAATTTACGTAAATATTTATTACATTTTACCGCAACGAAAAGTATTACAATTTACGTCAAATTTTATTACAATTTGCGTATTACAATTTACGTCAATTTTTATTACAATTTACGTTTTTATTACAATTTACGTCAAGTTTATTACAATTTGCTGCAAGTATTACAATTTGCGTTTTTATTACAATTTACGTCGTAACATGCACCAATGACAGGGTTTGCGGGATATGTTTACCTTAACATTGATAAAAAAACATAAAGAAACAAAATGTGTTTAAGAAAATATAAAGATGGAACAATGGATGTCATTCCTTGGTACAACTTTATATCCCTGCTCTCTTAGGATGGAGGTATAATAGTACTGCTAAGTTTGAAACATTAAAAATACATAAACCGATGTCATGAGTGAGTAGGTGAGTTAGTATAGTTTACGCCGCTCTTAGCAATATTTCAGCAATATCACGGCGAGTGACACTAGAAATGGACTTCACATTGTACCCAAGTGGGGAATTGAACCCTGGTCCCGGGTTCTTCGGCTTGACAATTGAAAGCTTTAACCACTAGGCTACCCCACCGCCCCTTAACCCAATGTAAGTCTGAATATACCAGAGGTCATTTACAGCTATGATCTATATCAGGGAAGGATAAAGAAAAACCAGCCCAAATCACAATCATGTATATTACATCACATGAAATTGAGAAACATCTACCATGTCGAACAAGTAATACAATGTCTAGCCTACAACACTGATCCAGATTCCCTCAGTGTTTGAATATTTACACTTGGGGCACTCAACATATACTAGTGTACTTGAGGGAATACTTCCAGGTGAGCTTTATCAGACATGTACTGCTTCAAGTCGGGCAGGTAATAAAAAACAGGAGGAGTGCATTAGTATGTTGACAACATAATGATCCAAAGTTCAAAAAGGTGCAAGAATGACAAATTATCAAAGGCATGTCAACACACAACATTGCTACACATATTTTGATTACAAGCCCGCCAGGAATTCCTGCATTAAATATATAAAATCGCTCTTACTAATATTTTTGTATCTTAGGCCAGACCAATTTTATTTCTTTTTTTAACAGGTTTTTGTCCTAAGCAAACCTAAAGGCAGGAGGGAAAAAACAAATCACCAGACCAGTCACTAAGTAATATGCCTTCAAAATACTATCTCATCACTAATTGGCTGGAATAATGCCGATGTGATGTAAAACTCAACATGTTTCACTCATGGCAATTAATGAAGTGTATATGGGGCAAAAAACAATCTAAAAGAATTTTCTCGTAAGTTTCCCGAAAATATGACCCCATCCTTCTTGTTGAGTTAAACAAGAGTCATCAGAAGATGACAAATCCCCCAGCCCCCATAAATTTGAAAGAAGAAATCAACTGACAGTTACTTAAAGTCCAACTTGATTTTTTTTGACTAAGTCCAAATTGTTTCCATGGAAACCAAGAAAAAGAAAAATAACAAAAATCTGTAAATAGCAAAAGGCATCACTTTAGCTTCTGTTTGATATATCTACAAGTTTTGTTGAAAAATATTGAACGGTTTTTGAGTTATGCTCCGGAAACAAAATGATTACTGACGGACAGACGGACACGGTGTCGACTATATCCCCCCGGCATGTAATGAAACAAGCAAAGAAATATGACATTGACATTTTAAGTTCAGAATGTAGAGTCATCACATGTTATTGCTCTGAAATATCTCTGATATAGGACTTGATTCTATTCTACAAGCCCAGCGCCTGTAAACTATGGGACTCCTGCAACAAGGATAAACATATATTCATATCTGTTACTGATCTATGTGAAGTCTAAGGTCAGTTCTACTACATCTTAAATACAGTATGTCTGTGAAGACTGTCTAGAATCTTCAATATACAGACAAATATAAATTGAATCTGTCACAAATACCAAAACTCAGACAGACTAACTAGAAACCTATTCAGACTGGAAACAAATATATTTTGTAAAAACTTTATTGGAATATATTTTAAATGTTTATTCTAAAAAAAAAGCTAACTGATTCATATCCAGTATAAGGCAATGTACAGTTTAAAGGTCATGTACACATACAATCATGATCATGTGTGTGACAACACGAAAAGTGTCTTACTTTATAACCATATGTAGAAATGAAGGAAGAACATCTCATAATTGGTTCACTGTTGTCTGATCTTTTTGACTTTCTGAATAAAATATGATTAAACCAAAATCAAGACTGTCTACATCAGTTTTCTCCTGTGAGTGAGTTTAGTTTTACACTGACTTTAATAATATTCCAGTAATATCATGCTGGTTGACACCAGAAATGGGCTTCACACATTGTAGCCACGTGGGAAATCGAACCTGGGTCTTCGGCGTGACTAGCGAACACTTTAACCACTAGGCTACCCCACCGCCCCAGTTCTTCCTGTACTTGCGGACCACCAACATCAACTGATGGGCCTCCTCATCCCGCAATCCTCTGTCTGTATTCGGTCTTCTACTTATTGATTGTGCCCACAGACAAGGGTTCCCTGGTGTGTCGTAAGACTGTAAAACTATACTCCTGGTCCATATATCACAGAGTGGCTCCATATACACAGTAATTGAGATATATGTCTTCATACTGGATGCTAATTGACTCGCATTGATACAGTCTGGAGCACTGAATCATGCACAGAATGATGACCTGTATGGTAATGTATAATGTACACATTTTGCAACACTACATTGTGTCTTGGTATACACTCATTGTAGAAGAACTTGAGGGATTGAAATGTAAATGAACACAGTCATATGTATTGTGATTTATCAAGTCAGGCTTATAGAACATATGTAGTCAGGCAATTCCAACAAACTCTTCCTTCTGAAATATAGTTTTAAATCTGTGTTTGTCAAATGAATTAATCAAAAATTATCTGTCACAAAAGTTGCTGGTATATGAAGGGACAGATCTGTCCAACATCTACGAAAATTCATCAGAACAATTTCACCTATCTTTTATAAAGGGATTTGTCACAGCAAATGAAAGTGTGGAGAAACTTCTTTGGAGGAATTTTGAAGTTGGAGCACTAAGGTAGGATAATAGCAATATGCAAGAACAACTTCTTTATTACACTCGGAGAGATATTTCATTTGCTTGATAACAGTGTTAGAACCTACAATGAAACATCACTCCCACTGTAATAAAGAAGTGGTTTCATCTATGTATTGTTATCCTGCCAAAGTCTGCAGTACACTGGCCATGAACCTTTGAATATTGCTAGACACATATTGAGGAGTTGGGCGGTAGGGTAGCCTAGTGGTTACAGCGTCCGCTTGTCACGCCGAAGACCCGGGTTCCATTCCCCACATGGGTACAGTGTGCGATGCCCATTTCTGGTGTCCCCTGACGTGATATTGCTGGAATATTGCTAAAAGCAGCTTAAAACCAAACTGACTCATTCACTATTTGGGTGTTGCTACACACAGGTATTTTGTTGGATGTAATGAAAACAATGTACCACAAACCAATAAAAGTAATGTAATACTTCAAATGCATCCCTCAGAGCTTACTCCATGCTTAATATCAGAATACACCATTCTTTTAAATACATACCCCGTAGCCCTATTTTACAAAGTCATGTATATATTGTTAATGCATTGCTATGATATCTACACAAGTCAATCATAACAAGTGTTTGCCACTGATATGGCAATGTCTCCCGCCGCTAAAGAATGGAATATCTATATTTACTTTTTAAAATTTTTGGTCACATACAAGATGCCTGAAATGACTGGTGTCTGCACAATCACCCAATGTAGGCTGTCAACATAATTGAAAACATTACGTGCAATGTTTTATGAGATATCGCGTTTAAATAAGTTTGAAAAGTGGTCAAAGTGTCATGGTGACCTTGAGGATAAGGTCAAGGTCACCAAAATCGACTGGTGTCTGCGTAACCCCCTAATGTAGGCTGTCACCAAATTTGAAGACATTGGGTACAACAGTTCATGAGATATCGCGTTAACAAGAATTGGGACGGACGGACATACGGACGGACGGATGTATGGACGCTGCTGAATGCATAGTCCTCCGTTCCACGTTGCGGCGGGGGACAATAAAATTATACATCACAAGTTCAACATGTGAGGTGTCTGGGTATTACCTGTTGAACATGTCATCGTCTTCGCCACCCCATCCAAAGTACTTGTTGGAGAAGCCGTTCACCTGTATAAACTGTTCTTGTGTCAAGGCACTCACTCCGCCAAATATCTGTGTGTAGGGCAACCTGTAAGAACAAACATACAGACGTCAACAATATATGTGACACCTTATGCTTACCAATACAACCTAGGCATTACCCATAGCATTGATAGCATAGAAGAAAAGAAATGTGTGAAACTAGTCAACGTATCACCTACTATCACTATATTCACATCAGGTAATCTACAGATCTTGGTGTAGTATTACATTTATAGTATATCAGGTATGTATGTATTATGATATCCTTTTGGAGACATTTAGGAAAATATACCAAAATGTATTATTTCTATGAATTATTGGACTAAACATGACATACTTCTTGATTATTAATGCACTTGTTGAGTATCAATTTTTGTGTGCAGATTTAGTTCTTCTTTGATGTTTTAATGCATTCTCAGTTATGGATCTAATGTCGGTTTGCATTATTACAGAGGTAGGTTATTTACAAAGTGCATCCAAACTTTTAAATTAAAGATTTCATCTTAGATCCTGTAACTGTGGAGAGGGTATTTGTGGCCACTGTTTTACAGCTAGTTCACCATGTCCGGGCAGTAAACTATGTCATCTGTGGTTGTCCAGTGATCACAACTGTACAATGTTCAGATATCACTTGAATACCAACTGACCATGTATTCCAGCAAACAAGAGGAAAGCTACAACAATATCATGAATATGGAACCAAAAGATATGATTACAGTAGGTGTTCACATACTTCCCAATCTCCTTGTGCAATAAACGTTGGTCCTTTGGAATCAATAATACTTTGAAAGTCATCAGATGTGCACTAACTAGATAAGCCTGCACTACCAGAACACAATTTCATTTAAACCAAATCCAGAACTGGTTGAAAGTGGGAGAGTGTTTTGGGACAAGTTCAACAACTACTGACATTCCTTATGCAGTTTGTATGGTACATGTATATGGAAATAACAAGCTGAATAATTCATTATAAGAACAGTTCTGTTGGCCTTGTGATCACACCACACATGAGGTCATCCCATAATCTTCATGAATACACATGAATATATCCTCTATCTTCTGATCAGGCAATAAATATATCTTGGAAGGAGCTACTGCTGTGTATAATAATACTCAACGTTACACAATGAATGTAACAACGGAAAATGTTAAAACCTTATTTAATCACAAAAATGCACTGATTTTATGAAGACTGTGTTTCCATACTAACTGTTTGTTCAGATATGTTCTATTACACAAAAACTAAATTTATGCAGAAAACTATAATTGTGGCTTTGAATCTGACTATGTTGGTTTGTTAGTACCACACCAAAGTGGTAAAATTCAGGGTTAGAACTGGACCCATGCTTGTGGTAAGAGTCGACTAACAGGATTGGGTGGTCCATACTGCTGAAATATTGCTGAGAAGCTGTCCTCCCAGGGGTGGTGGGGTAGCCTAGTGGTTAAAGTGTTGCCTCATCACACCAAAGACCTGGCTTCAATTCTCCACATGGGTACAATGTGGGTACATGGGTACATTTCTGCTGTGTCCCTGCCGTGATAGTGCTGGAATATTGCTAAAAGTGATGTAAAACCAAACTTACTCACTCACTCACATTCCCCCACATTAAGCTGACATTCCGTGATATGTGTCAAAGCAGCATTAAACCCAACTCACTAACTCCTAGGTCATGCATTCAGTATGTTTAGATTTACAGATTTTAGTTTTCTGATTTGTCCAGAATCCAGGATCTGGCAGATTCCACTGGCTGTTACCTGTACTTGAGCTTGTCGATGGCCACGGACATGTGCCTGGGCATCTCTGGGCAGGAGTAGAGGTTCCTGTCATCCTCTGGGATGAGGTCCACGTCGTGGAAGATGAAGCAGGTGTAGTTGTGCAGCTTGATGGACTCCGCGTACCCGATGTTGAACAGCATGGCTCTGTTGAACTTCACATCTGACACCTGCACAGACAAAAGTACGAGTATAATCTGCATATTCTGCAGGTAGCAGGGAATGGACACTGATCTGAAGGCTGGTTAAATTATGTCAGGTGCTTTAAACATCTATACAGCGTCACAGACTAATTGTGTTCACCATGCTCTATTCAAGGATCGTCGTCATCATAGTAATATCAGTGATAATACACAATGCCATTTAGAAAGTGGTCAAATGCAACATGTTATATTACACTTTCTTAGTAAAGTACAAATTCGAGTACTTTTTTTAGTTGAGCCCCATTTGTGAGTTCGAAAAAAGTACTAGAATTTGTACTTTACTAAGAAAGTGTAATCCCAAATATAACATATGTTACAGTGATAATATTGTTATGATATGCATGCTATTTCTGGAATTCTGAGACCATTACCTAATGAGTGGGTGAGTGAATGAGTGAGTTTGAGTTAGTGAGTTGGGTTTGTATGCCGCTTTTAGCAATATTCCAGCAATATCACGACTGGGGACACCAGGTAGGGGCTTCACACATTGTGCCCATGGTGGGAATCGAACCTTTGGTATGATGAGCAAACGCTTAAACCACTAGGATACCCAACCGCCCCCAGAGGGTAAGTGAGTGAATGTGTGAGTGAGTGAGTGAGTGAATGCTGCTTTGGGCTGGCTTCAGCATTATTTCAGCTTTGTTATGGCAACAAATCAACAAGCATTGTCGCAAATTATCAAATCAAACTTAAAAAGTAATGAAAGTTTAAGATGAAGTTAAATGTCAACAAAAACATGACCAGTCAACGTCTCTAGATATCTTGCTCTTTAGTTGTTCAAACACACAAATATTTTCAAGACTGGCTTTGACCTTGACATGAATGTCATAGTGTATGAAATATGCAATAATGGTACTAAAGAAATTGCTTATTGAAAAACATTCAAGGGAAGTCTTGAAAGTCTATGAAGAAATCCAGTGAATTCAGGTTAACATGCTGAAATCTTCAAAGTGTCTTTGTGACCTTGAAAATTAAGTTAAGGTCACCAAATTCTACTGGGCCCTGCGCCTTCCCTGGATGAAGCTTGGCGCCAAATATGCAGAAAATCCAGTGATAGGTTCTTGAGGTATCTTGCTGACAAGCATAACATGCAGGTTATTATGCTGAAATCTTCAAAGTGTCACCATGACCTTGAAAATTACGTGAAGGTCACCACAATCGACTGGGCCCTGTGCCTTCCCTAGATAAAGCTTGCTGTTGAATATGAAGAAAATCCAGTGAACGGTTCTTAAGATAGCTTAACATGCAGGTTAACATGCTGAAATCTTCAAAGTGTCGCCATGACCTTGAAAATTACGTGAAGGTCACCAAAATCGACTTGGCCCTGCGCCCTCCCTAGATAAAGTTTGGTGTTGAATATGAAGAAAATCTAGCTCATGAGTTCATGAGATATCTCACTGACAAGAGTAAAATGTTAAAGTCCCCGTGTGACCTTGAAATGAAGGTCAAGGTCACCAATCCTGATTGGGACCTTTCTTATACTGTGATGAACTGAGGTGCCAAATATGAAAAGAATCTAGTCAATGGTTCTTGAGATATTCCAATTCGTACGTACGTACGTACGGATGGAGCCTAATACTATATGCCCCGCTTCGCGTTAAACGCGCAGCGGGTGATAATAACCAAGACTGAGCAAGGCAAACTTGTGACTAACAGCATAAGCAATGATCAACCCAGTTGGTGCATGGTACTTATTATTACCACCTGGTGGGTACATGGTGAACACAACTGGTCAACGACCCACTGTGACAACCTGGATTGTCAATGACCAATGTGGCCACCTAATCCTCATATGCGAAATAACCTGACCTTAAATCCAAATGATGGGGAAAATAATACACAAATCAGTCTCACTATAGTTTCAACTGTACTCATAATGTCTCACGAGTCAACTGTGGGAATTATCCAAATGCACATACACAGGCAAAGACACTTGATTTCTAAACACTGGTAATACAGTTGATAAATTCTCTCCGAGTGGCAAGAGCACCAGATTTAGTCTACCTGTACCAATAACAGTGAATAGTGTTCTGCAAAACAAACTCTCCTCTGAGAGTAGGTAATAAAACAACCTCATCCCATTACCAAGCCATCTACAAATCCCCTGGACTGACGAGGCTGATAACAGGACATGGTTAGTATATTGATTATTCCAATAATGTACCACCTCATCATCAGATATCCTCTACTGTGTGTACTTCCCATAGGAGCCCAGACAGGGGTTACTATATTTTGAGTAAACCTGACTGTGAAATATTATTGACTGGCTAATGCAAGTATACAAATATGACCATGATGAATACATGAAGACAGGCCTGTGTGTTCTCGATTAGGTGCTTGATTCTGAAAGTGTGGGTTCAAATCCTGGATGGGACTGAGTCTAACAAAAGTACTTGAACGTGTATTTTACTAAGAAAGCATAATCCTGAATATAACATATGTTACATGGCTAACTTGGTAACTTGATTTCAGCTCAGGCCTAATTTAATAACCATAGTTATAGATTCTATACATGTTGTTGAAAGATATTCTTGTCACATTTGCCCTTCAGATATGTGCCATCTGGAAATTATGCTCACCATTTAGTAAACACTTTGTGTTCACTTTTTGAACACAAGTTCATGTCAAATTGTACAATCAATAAGAGATTTCTTATGGATACGGAAAGGGTTTTGTTGCTACAACTTACCCAGGCTATTACACCTTTGTCACTGATGATTCCACAGCTGCCATATCACATCTCAAATGACCAATCAGCTTTGTGAATCATTACAATATGTGATACAGTGTGATATATTGAGAGTTGAGTTGACAAGTCAGCCATGTGCTGTTTACTCGAATAATGTTCACTTGACAACCATCTACTCCCAATGTTAGTTTTATTGACAAACTTAACTTAGGTTCCGTGACAAATATTCTGTAGTAAAGTTTCAGGATGATGTTGTTCAAGAGGACTTCCTTCACAGAATGAACAGTTTGTTATACTCAGAATATTCACTTACTGGCTCCACAACGAAGATGCCATAGTCGAGCTCCTGCCGCTGCAGGAAGTGATGGATGTTGGTCATGAAGATCTTGAGGTGGGACGGCCTGTCCCTGAACGGGATGATGATAGCCACATGGTGTCGAGATGTGCAAGTTTCAGGCCACCACCGACCTCCAACTTTCACAGCAGAATTTAGGGCCTCAATGTTCCTATTGCTGTACACGTTCTTGTCAACTGCCACTGGACCCTCTAAGAAAGATAAACAGTAAAATTTTCCACATAAAAATAATAGTAGACTATTCATAAACATAGACATAGAGATTCTTATTTGACCCAAAAGATAATCTCAAAGTCACCTTACCATAACAATCAGTTCAATAATCATAACTATTTACAAGTGAACAAGTACTATTTTATCAGTAATGAAAATTGATGCCTTAGCACACATGGGACATGATCAATGAGTATGTATCTCATTGCACTCATTACTTGGCTTGTTGCTATATTTTCCACTACTATACTTTCAACTATAGTACCATGGCATCTCTTGATATGTCATATCAGTGAGTGAGTTTAGTTTTATGCCGCACTCAGCAATACTCCAGCTATATAGCAGCGGTCTGTAAATAATCGAGTCTGGACCAGACAATTCAGTGATCAACATGAGCATCGATCTGTGCAGTTGGGAACCGATGACATGTGTCAACCAAGTCAGCGAGCCTGACCACCCGATCCCGTTAGTCGCCTCTTACGACAAGCATGGGTTACTGAAGATCAATTTTCTAACCCGGACCTTCATAGGTCGATATGTTGTATCTGGTTAGCGCTTTAACATGCAGGGTATTTACTGGACCCATCACACAAGGTGTCATAATTGTGTATGAGTGTATCCAGGATGTATGTCTGATATTACATATGCTACCATTAATGTTCTATATTTGAGAAATGTCCCCCACTGCTTGCCTACACAATGTTCAATGCATTCTTTCAAAAACATTACCACAATTATGCAGGGTTTGTGTATGATGTACACAAGCGATGAGGATTTGTCCAATTAAACATAAATTTAATGCTTTCAAATGAGTCCCAGATAAGACATTTAGATATATAGGTTAGTCTGTCTTACAGTCCCTGAACCATACTAGTATCCCTTCCTCCCAGGCCAACTGTTATGAAATACCCTAAATGAAGCAAGTCTGCATGTTCCTGAAGTTCAGTGTCTGAACCTCTTATCATTTGAGATGATTTTCAGATTAAATGGAGTTCTTTTTTCTCACCAAAAAAATATATTTTCAGAGTGTCAGTCTAATAATTAAGCATGCCCTTTGGAATTAAAGTATGCCAACTAGAGTAATAATTTTGATTCATCTTCAAAGTACATGAACACTAATTCGACAATTTGATGATAAGCAGTGGCAAATTTCAAACGGTGCCACTTACCTGTTCACTGAGTTTGAAAATAGCTGAATACCAATTCCAACTAACAATGCATTATGTTCAGATGTTCATTTTTCTAGTTTTTTGACAGGTGTATTTATTGTTTCACATAATGAACTTGTCACAAAGTGTTGTAACTGAGTGTGCTCTTTAAGAACCAGGGCCTAGATTTTCGAAGCTCTCTTAGAGCTAAGATAGTCGTAAGTTCATGTTAATGTATGGCACTTACGACTATCTTAGCTCTAAGAGAGCTTCCAAAATCTAGGCCCAGGACCTTTTTCTAACTAGGCAATTATGATTTCAACCATGTCACTGACACTGAAATACATGACTATTGCACACTACACTCACTCATTGAGGATGACAAAACAAAGGCTTTAGCGAGCACTTAAGGTGATACTAAAAGAAAGGACTTTCAAACCCAGCAGTGACTGTAGAACATGACTAAATAAAGACTTACCTAGGTTAGAAGGTATGAGGGGGCACAGAGGCAGCTTGGGCTGATCATTGGAGGAATCTCTGTTTGGTTTTCCTGTCAACAGATGTCGAAGACTGTTTCCAGAAGTATTAGTTTTCTGTTTCATCAGGAAGCCTCTCAGATACATTGACATCCCTGACGTGGAGTTAAAGTGCATCGTGAAATTGAAGACAAACTCAACTGCCAAAAGACATGCCAGGACCAAGGTCACTATCATGAACTTACTGACGAAGAAGGATCGCATGTAAGTCAGTGTTGCTCGAATTATGGCTATTGATGAGATTCTCATCTTCCTGCTTGTCGGGTTCATGCTGATTATGCAAGGCAGTAATGTGGATTACCAAATGGACTGTTTCCATCTCTTCATCTTTACAGATGTGTATCAGATCTGTGAGGGTCATTCACCTCCATCTGAAGACAAAAAGAAAAAACATCATATCATGTCTCACATGATCCTTGAAACTTTGGGACCAATGGCATTGGTTTGTTGTTGAATGCCTCACTCAGCGGTCTGTAAATAATCCAGTGATCAACATCATGAGCATCGTTTTATGCAATTGGGATACACAGATACTTTATAAACTGTCTACATTTGTTACATATCACACACATTGTTCCAGTTTGACAACTGGAATTATACATAAGTTCAAACTATCCTTCAGAAAGCATCAGAAGTCCCATATTGAACATTGTTTCAAGGACACAGCAGACAGTTGCCAAGACAATGTTTTCAGGAACTAGTGTTTTAGATTTCATAGTGTAACAAACTATCATGATCATTTTTTAACAAGTGTTTTTCTTTAAAAAATCTCTTTTTTTCATAATATATGTCACAGACCAGTGCCACAGTATTGTTGTATAATTCCGAGCCAGTTATCAATGAAACAGTCTTTCTACAAATTGGAACTGAATACAACTGACAATACTAAACCTATTTTTCTTGTTCAAGCAGGATTAGCTACAACCTCTTAATATTATTGAAAAAGGGTTAACACTCATTCTATGGGTGTGTCTTGAAAAAGCAATTTTTAAGTCTGTGAAATGTTATGTGTACTCCATAAGTGAGTGAGTGAGTATGGTTTTACACCGCTTTTAGCACTATTCCAGCTATATCATGGTGGGGGACACCAGAAATGGGCTTCACACATTGTACCCATGTGGGGAATTGAACCCTAGCCTTCAGCGTGATGAGCCAATGCTTTAACCACTAGACTACTCCACTGTCCATGTACTCAACAAACAAAATTATGGAACAGTGCATTCTGCTCACCTGGCAATCAACACCATAATTTTGAATTTCTAGTTTTATACAAACAAGTGCTGACCTAGACAAGACTTGCCAAATGTTCCCTGTTGATAGATACAGAGAAAGAACACATTATATGTATAGTTTTTGTAGATTCTAATTCATGATTGATTATTTATCAATCTTTTTTGATACATTAACCAGCATCCGATGCCAAAAGTTCTGTGCAGCACAGCACTATACAAATCTCATATATGCAATCTCATAATCATGACAAAAGTCTTTCACTTCAGCATTTCGGAAACATTATGCTTATATTTCATTTAGTAAGTGACAGCCAGTTCTGATGAGGCAATGCCATTATCAGCAATTAGCTCTCTTGCAGTAATGGTATGGATTTTGGACGGAGAGGCACGTTCTTCCTTAATCCCTTGGGATGTGGCTTGAGTAGAAACATGAAAAAGCTATTATTAATATGCTCTGTATCATGAACTCATTTCCACATTAGTCATATTTATCATAAACTGCTTATGACTTCCATAACATTCAACCATCATAACACCTGTCAAGCTACAAGACAAGAACAATGCATTGTCCTTCTATCTTTCATAAACACATCCGCAATGGCCATCTACACTGCTTAGGAACACAGATGAAGATGATTACGCATCGATAAATAACTGAATATGTTCAGGGCATCTCTCTGCCTAATGCCAGCACTCTTGACAGGATTGGCCTGCAATATTCTTTCATCTCTCTGTCTGCTAGCAGTTCATTGTCTGCCCACAAATGACACAAAAACTGTAATTGGAGTAACTAGTGCTCTTGTTATTCATCCATGTTGCTGATTAATTGGGGTTTATAATGGACAGTCTGTCTACAAGGTCAAGGACGCATGTTTAGTCCCACTGAAAACCTTTGACGTAGTTCATTCTAGGGCTGCTACAGAGTGTAATCAGAAACAAGATACTGTTTACTTTACACAGGAAAACTGAGACTGGATGCTAATGATATACACCATGATGGTCACATACTGCTATAGCACTGCGGTCAGAATTATTGAAATGAACTAAATTGTTGTAAGCATGTATGGTTTAATTGCCATTTCTACTCTGTTCAGAAACACAAAGTTCAGATTGCCCAGGTCCCTGTCGCTGTCTCCCTAAAGAAACCAGGAAATCCATATCTATAAATACAACTAACCTACCTAGTAAATCGTTCCAATGGGAACTAATCTTCCAAAATGCACTTTGTGGTTTTGGGTACAATGGTCATCCTGGAGGTAAAAATGTTATTGTTGTCCAAAGAACCTCAAACAATACTGATAGTCCCAGGTAAACCAGTAGAGTTTATGTTCTTACTTGGTTCCCAATTGTAGTGGTTTCCCTTTGTTGTGGTTTCCCCATTGTAGTGGTTTCCCCATTGTAGTAGTTCCCCATTGTAGTGGTTCCCATTGTTGTGGTTTCCCCACTTTAGTAGTTCCCCATTGTAGTGGTTTCCCCACTGTAGTAGTTCCCCACTGTAGTGGTTCCCATTGTTGTGGTTTCCCCACTTTAGTAGTTCCCCATTGTAGTGGTTTTCCCTTTGTACTGGTTCCCCATTGTTGTGGTTTCCCCATTGTAGTAGTTCACCACTGTAGTGGTTTCCCCATTGTACATATTGGTTTCCAATTGTAGTGGTTTTCCCATTGTAGCTGTTTCCCCATTATAGTAGTTCCCCATTGTAGTGGTTTCCCCATTGTACATAGTGGTTTCCCATTGTAGTGGTTTCCCCATTGTAGTGGTTCCCACTGTAGTGGTTTCCCCACTTTAGTAGTTCCCCATTGTAGTGGTTTCCCCATTGTACTGGTCTCCCATTGTAGTGGTTTCCCCCATTGTAGTTGTTCCCCATTGTAGTGGTTTCCCCCTTGTACTGGTTCCCCATTGTAGTGGTTTCCCCCTTGTACTGGTTCCCCATTGTAGTGGTTTCCCCATTGTACTGGTTCCCCATTGTAGTGGTTTCCCCCATTGTAGTGGTTCCCCATTGTAGTGGTTTCCCCCTTGTACTGGTTCCCCATTGTAGTGGTTTCCCCATTGTAGTGGTTCCCCATTGTAGTGGTTTCCCCCATGTACTAGTTTCCCCATTGTAGTGGTTTCCCCATTGTACTGGTTTCCCATTGTAGTGGTTTCTCCATTGTAGTGGTTCCCCATTGTAGTGGATCCCCATTGTAGTGGTTTCCCCATTGTACTGGTTCCCCATTGTAGTGGTTTCTCCATTGTACTGGTTCCCCATTATAATGGTTTCTCCATTGTAGTGGTTCCCCATTGTAGTGGTTCCCCATTGTAGTGGTTTCCCCATTGTACTGGTTCCCCATTGTAGTGGTTTCTCCATTGTACTGGTTCCCCATTGTAGTGGTTTCCCCATTGTAGTTGTTCCCCATTGTAGTGGTTTCCCCCTTGTACTGGTTCCCCATTGTAGTGGTTTCCCGATTGTACTGGTTCCCCATTGTAGTGGTTTCTCCATTGTACTGGTTCCCCATTGTAGTGGTTTCCCCCTTGTACTGGTTCCCCATTGTAGTGGTTTCTCCATTGTAGTGGTTCCCCATTGTAGTGGTTTCCCCCTTGTAGTGGTTCCCCATTGTAGTGGTTTCCCCATTGTACTGGTTCCCCATTGTAGTGGTTTCCCCATTGTACTGGTTCCCCATTGTAGTGGTTCCCCATTGTAGTGGTTCCCCATTGTAGTGGTTTCCCCATTGTAGTGGTTCCCCATTGTAGTGGTTCTCCATTGTAGTGGTTCCCCATTGTAGTGGTTTCCCCATTGTACTGGTTCCCCATTGTAGTGGTTTCCCCATTGTAGTGGTTCCCAATTGTACTGGTTTCTCCATTGTACTGGTTCCCCATTGTAGTGGTTTCCCCATTGTACTGGTTTCCCCATTGTAGTGGTTTCCCCATTGTACTGGTTCCCCATTGTAGTGGTTTCTCCATTGTACTGGTTCCCCATTGTAGTGGTTTCCCGATTGTACTGGTTCCCCATTGTAGTGGTTTCTCCATTGTACTGGTTCCCCATTGTAGTGGTTTCTCCATTGTAGTGGTTTCTCCATTGTACTGGTTCCCTACTGTAGTGGTTTCTCCATTGTACTGGTTCCCCATTGTACTGGTTCCCCATTGTAGTGGTTTCTCCATTGTACTGGTTCCCCATTGTACTGGTTCCCCATTGTAGTGGTTTCTCCATTGTACTGGTTCCCCATTGTACTGGTTCCCCATTGTAGTGGTTCCCCATTGTAGTGGTTTCTCCATTGTAGTGGTTCCCCATTGTAGTGGTTCCCCATTGTAGTGGTTTCCCCATTGTAGTGGTTTCCCGCTTGTACTGGTTCCCCATTGTAGTGGTTTCCCTTTCTTGGATGTTGTGGTTCCCCAATTTGGTGATTCCTCTTCATGATGGTGCTCCTACATGATATGGTTGCTCATTTTGGGGTGGATCCCCACAAAAGCACAGTGAAGTAGACAACACTGTTTACACTTATTAAATAGTAAGCAGTACACACATTAAGCTGTCATGTCTGTCTACAGACCACAACATCCCACAGCTCTGTTATGTCAGTGTAGCACATGTAACCCATAGTCACCATAGATGAACCACAGATTTTGAACATAACAGCAGTTTGTGACTTTGAGGTATCTGATCACTAAACAATAATCATGATCATATATACTGTATTGACAAACTGTGTACCCTACCAACTACTTGTCATGAGACCCATGATTAAGAACTGGTCTCAGAGGACCAGATAAGCTGCGTATCCGGGTAAAATAGGCATAGAAAATTTCCAATTACACATTGAAAAATAATTGTTGCGTACCAATTATGCATTTAAAATGTTAGATACGCAAAAAGTATAAAACAAAGGCGTACGGAATATATTTATAAAAATCGCTTGCGTAATGAAAAAGACATCGATTGCTATCAAGTTGTATTGTTAGTATAGGACAAGTGTTGTACTGTCAGTATAGGATGAGTGATTTTTTATGAAATCATTTCCATTATATTTAACTTGGTTTTGATTAGGTATAAGGTAGAACATACCTGCTTAGTAAACTTACTCAATGACATAATACATAGGTGAGTAATATGACTGAAATACGCACATATTTGAAAGCAGTGGGTAACGGAAAATGAAATACCCACT